TCAGCCAGGAAGCAAATTCAATTTTTATTCTGCCATACATATTTATATTTATTGGGCTCTCAGTCGAGCCCAGACTTTGATATACAAGGTAGAAAGCAAAAAGCTAGGCTTATTTGACCCCTAAAAAGGCAGATCTTCGGGAGTCTGAAGCAGACCGGGAAATCCACTCGTGTGCAGTCGGGAACTACTACCTCACTTGAAAGTTCAATCTGCCCTGTTGGGTCAACTGTTTGAAAACAATTCCAATTTAAAAATATGGGTTGGTTGCCTGTATTTTTGTTTTTTTTTAAAAAAAGGATTGAAGTGGTTCGAAAAAGCCTTCCGAAAGCACAATTCCATTCAATTCAGGTAACCCCAAATATCTATTGCACTGGGGGGGGGGGAGAGGGTTGTTGTCTACATGCACACATGGGAGGGGGGGTTGTATGTGTGCAAAGCCTGACCTGTGTGTTTGTGTAAACTGCTTCGCTGCTGGACTGAGGCTGAAATCATGGATAATAGTCTTAACGGTAATAACAATAATGATAATAATAACCATAATAATAATAATAGTGCGCCCACAGGCTATATTGTTAACAGTTGATGGTCCCGTGAGGCACTCCTGCAGCAGAGACTGACCCGCCCTCCACGAAGGCCAGGGAAACTGGTGTGTCTTAGAAGCAGCATCTTCGGTGGACAAGCCGGGTGTTGGTGTGCATAGTCGCCTACTTATCCAAAGCAAGACATGATTTTATTCCTGAAACAGAGGAGGCGCCTTAATTGCATGGGAGTTAGGCTGGGGTGACATTTAAAGCATATTAATTTTATTCTCGGAAGCAAAAGGAACGATTCCTTGATCATCTCTCTGGCAGATGACCCATCTCAAGCAGCAGAGATTCCCATGGGGTTCTTTCGGCAAATCCTGTTCTTTACTCTGGGGCAGGTGTGGGAGGGAGGGAGGGAGGGAAGGAAAGAAGGAAGGATAAGGAGAGAAGGAGGGAGAGAGGGAGGGAAGAAGGGAAGGAGGAAAAAGGAGAGAAAGAAGGAAGAAGGGAGGAAGGAAAGGAGGAGAAGGAAGGGACGGGAGGAGGAAATGAGGAAGGACAGGAAGGAAGGAAGGATAAGGGAAGAAGGAAGGAAGGAGGGAGAAGGGAGGGAAGAAGAAGGGAAGGAGGAAAAAGGAGAGAAAGAAGAAGGAAGGGAAGAAGGAAAGGAGAAGGGGAAGGAAGGGAGGGGAGGAGGAAATGAGGAAGGAAGGAAGGAAGGAAGGAAGAAACAAATGCCTGAGACTGGGAAGAAAAAAAAAAGAAAGAAAGAAAGAAAGAAAGAAAGAAAGAAAGAAAGAAAGAAAGAAAGAAAGAAAGAAAGAAAGAAAGAAAGAAAGGAACGCCCGAGACTGGGAATTTTACCCAGGCTTCTTGAGTGACAGACCTTCCTAATGTTGAATCATCTGCTTCCCAAGAAAAGCAACAACAAAAACATTGTGTGTGCCTGTCAACCAGAAAGCGGAGAGGAAAAAGCAAAAAGCTGCTGGGAGGAAGGAGAAAGAGACACGCAGAGCCTTGCTGGTAAGCCGGCAAAAGCTTGACCTAATTTCTCCTGAAAGGATGGAAATAATAAAACTTTTGAGGGGGGCAAAAAGTAACGCAAAAGACCTGACTGAATTGCCAAAGCAATTTGTGAGGATTAAAAATTCGGGGGGAAGGAAAGGGTGATGATTTGGGGGGGGGGGAGCAGATTCTGACCCAGACACTTCCTTCCCAAAACGGCAGCAAGAATAACTTTCTTCCCTACTGCCCTCCTACCCCATAACTCGGGGGGGGGGGGTGTTCTCCAAACTCGACAACTGGAAGCCTGGCGGGCTTCAACTCCCAGAATTCCCTAGCCTGCCGCGACTGGCGGACTTCAACTCCCAGAATTCCCTAGTCGGCCGTGGCGGGCCTGGGGGATTCTCGAGAGTTGTAGTCCGCCAGTCTTCCAAGTTGCCAAGTTTGGAGACCCCCCTACCGCAACGGGTCAGGACGACGAGTGCAAGGTTTATCTCCAGAGACACCGCTTCCTCTTGGTGACCCGCGCAGCCTCCTCGCGACGCCCTGGAGCTACTTGTCGGACCCTTTCCGCGGCCGGCGGAAGGTGGGGGTGTCCTTGTTCAACGCGTAGATCCTCCGGGAAAACTCCTCAAATTCCCCCAGGACTTGATCGTCGCACTCCACCGCCACCGCGTGATCCACCGGGATATAGTTAAAGGCCCCGAGTTGGTCTCCCGAGCCGAACCCCATGGCCTCCAGGCCCATGATCTCCTCCGCCTGCTCCACGGTACACAGGAGGTCAGTGCTGAGCGCGCCGCAGAAGATGCTCGGCCGCTCGCGGGCGGCCGTACCGGGGTGCTCGCCGGAGAACGGGCTGCCGTTGATGGCCTGAGAAGGTCCCCGGAACGCCTCTGGCGGCGGATCCCGGGAGCCGCTCAAGCTCCTGTTCTCGCCGTTGACGCCGCCGTGCCGCAAGTCCTCGCCCGTTTTGCTTCCTTTCGAGAAGTCGAGGGAGGTATCTAAGGAGGAGGATAAGGAGGCGGCCTTTTTCTCCGTCTCTCCGGCGATGGCGATGGGTTGGCTGGAAGCCGAGTTGTGGCTCGGGACGGGGCTCTTGTGCGCCAGTCTCTCGTTCTCCGAGTTAGCCCGTTTGCGAAGCCCCTTGTCCGGAGACGGGTGGCTGCCGGAAAAGCCGACATCCAAACTGCCAAACGTAGAAGCTTGTCTCTTTGGAACGGGGATGGCGCTGGAAACGTGGTGACGATCGCTGCGAGGAAGAGGAGAAGAAGGGTTAAAGTCAGCGGGACTTTGAAGAAGGGCTCTGCCACCTTAAAGAGGGCAACCCAGAACACCAAACACAACACACACACACACACACACACAGCCAGATCTGCTATTCGTGTAAATAGTTTGAGAGGTTTGCAGGTACATGGAGAGAGCTGATTTGAGGCAGAACTGAAACTCAGAAATTCTCCAAAGCGCCTGAAGGCAGGACAAGAAGCAACGGATGGAAACTCATCAAGGAGAGAAGCAACCTGGAATTAAGTAGAAACTTCCTGACAGTTAGAACAATTAACCAGTGGAACAACCTGCCTCCAGAAGCGGTGAATGCACCAACCCTGGAAGTTTTTAAGAAGAAACTGGACAGCCATTCGTCTGAAATGGTATAGGGTTACCTGCCTGAGCAGGAGGTTGGACTAGATGACCTCCGAGGTCCCTTCCAACTTTATCATTATTATTATTATTATTATTATTATTATTATTATTATTATTATTATTACTATTACTACTACTACTATTATTATTATTATTATTATTATTATTATTATTATTATTATTATTATTATTATAGTGGCACTGAAGCAAGTGACTTGTGACCGAAACAGACAGGGGACGCTGTGTCCCTCTTCTTTCTATTTCCTCGCCCAGGTATTCAACATCAGAGAACATCCAACTTCTTTACCTAAGTTCCAGGTGACTTTTAAAGTTTTCAAATCCCGTGTGCATCGTACATACTGTAAGTCTATACGCTTCGGCCACTGTCCCTGAAGTCAGAGGCCTCTGCAATTTCCCATTTCTGATCAACTCCAGATCCGTAACTAAAATTCCAACGGAAGGGAATAATATCTGTAGCTGAAAGCTCACTTGAGGCTGTCCTTGGCGCTCTCTGAGCCTGGTTTTCTTACAGACGTCTCATTACCCAGCTAGGTAACATCACCAGTGCTAGAAGGGAGTAGGGTTTTCTCTCTGTTTATATACAATGGCTTGCACTATCGGTGTTGGTGGGAATATTTTTGGCGGTTCCTTGATTAGGCTGTTGTTAGGCTCCCTTCTAACGCTGAGGGTGTTACCTAGCTGGGTAATAAAATGTCTGCAAGTAAACCGCTACGCTCAAGAGAGCAGTGAGGACAACACAACTCAAATTCTTGTTTAGATATAATTTATCCTCTATCACAAGCAGGTGTTCTTGATTAGTTTGGACTTAAAATCCCAAAGCGCTCAACATTTGGCTCTTTTCTAACCCCAGAAAATGAAATCCTCTTGAAGGGAGGATTTCACAGTCCAATAAAAGCTGGATATTTTCCTGCTTCTTCTCCCAGGCTCCACGTCTTCAGGGCGACAGCTCTTGAGAATCCCGGGATTGCAAGAGCTTTAAGTAGACTACCTAGGCCAGTGGTTCTCAACCTTTTTAATGCCGTGACCCCAACCGGTCGTAAGTCGAGGACTAAACCGGTCGTAAGTCGGGGACTAAACCGGTCGTAAGTCGAGGACTAAACCGGTCGTAAGTTGAGGACTACCCAACCGGTCGTAAGTCGAGGACTTTCCCTGCCCGGGAGCGCCGCGCATGNGAGGGGCGGGGGCGTGGTTTTGTGTGCTGCCTGCATCCCGCAGACGGGGCTTTGCTTGTTTGTGCGGACCGGTTGCTGGCATGCCGCGGCCCGGTACCGGTCCACGGACCGGGTGGTTGGGGACCCCTTGATTTAGACCAGGGCTTTTCAACCAGTGGTACGGGTACCACCTGTGGTACATTGGCACCTGGCAGGTGGTACGCAACCATCCTAGAAAAGTGGTAGTGGGGGAGGGGAATGAGCTGAACCGGTGGCAGCACCGCACAAGCCTGAGCGAGAGACGGCTGGAGCTGCAGGGCTGTCAGGGCTCAGCAGAAGCGCCAGGATCAGTGCCAGGCTCCAGCTGGAGTTCAACGCTGATCCTGGAGCTTCTGCTGAGCCCAAAAGAAGCGCCGATCAGCTGGAATGTTGCAGCATCTCCAGGGTCTTGTGATTTACATTCAGATGCTTGGCAACTGATTCATATTTATGACAGCCACAGTGTCCCAGGGTCATGTGAAGTGACCAAAATCTGCTGCAACCACCCAGCGGGGGGGGGAATAAAAACCAAACACCCCCCACCCACCCCCACTGCCAATCCTCAACAGAAATGCTCACAACAATGGAAACCTTGGACAGGAGGAAGAGCACGGGCGGGTGGGCAGGCAGGCAGATGTCTTGCTCGGCTGTGCCTTGGGGGGGCCACTTTTTTCAGTGCCATTATAACTTTGAACAGTCACTAAGCGAACTGTTGTAAGTTGAGGACTACCTGTACTTTATCACTTTTTTCCTTTTTTTTTTTTTGGGTCATCAAGTTTTTGACACCTTGCTAGGCGACTGGTGGTACTTGGATGTTGCCATACCCTAAAAGTGGCACAATGGGTGAAAAGGTTGAAAAGCCCTGATTTAGACAACCTGCCTGATGATTTTGCTGAATTCCTGACACTTCTCTCTGGGACAGCAGCAGAAGGCCATGGATCCAACTGCTCTGTGGTCATGAAGAGGACCGACGGCCCCTTGGTTTTCTTATTTATATTTTAATTTATTTATTGTATTTAAGAACTCACAGAGGGAGAGCTTCCCAACTTTATTATTATTATTATTATTTTGGTTGTTTGGTTAAAAAAAACTTATCTCGACCAAAGCCATTTCTGGACGACAGCAAAATCGGGGTTAGTAATCCTAGTGAGCTGGGCAGATTGGAGCATCTTCGTTAAGAAAGACGGCACAAAGAACGGCACAATTCTCCCTATTCTGTGTTTTCTGAAAACGTTTCATCTTTAGCTACTTTTCTATTGCAAGTAGTCCTCAATGTACGACCCACAAGCGGGACCAGAATTTCCACTGCTAAGCAAGGCAGCTGTTAAGTTAAGTTGCGCTTGATTTTACAACTTAAAAGATAAGCCAATCTCGGCAGTTGTTCAAGCGAATCATACGGTCATTAAAGAAACCGGCTTCTCTCGTTGAAATTTGCTTGTCGGAAGCTGGGTGGGAAGGTCACAAATGGGGTTCCAGGATGCTGCAACTGTCGTAAATACATGCTGGTTATCAAATGCCCAAATTTTGATTGTGTGAATGTGGGGCTGCTGTGACGGTTGTTAATAGCAATAGCAACAGCACGTAGACTTATATACCGCTTCACAGTCCTTCACAGCCCTCTCTAAGCGGTTTACAGAGTCAGCTTATTTGCCCCCAACAATCTGGGTCCTCATTTTACCGACCTCGGAAGGATGGAAAGCTGAGTCAACCTTGATCTGGTGAGTATCGAACTCCTGGCTGTGGGCAGAATTAGCCTGCAATGCTGCATTCTAACCACTACACCACCATGGCTCGTTCCTTCCTTCCTTCCTTCCTTCCTTCCTTCCTTCCTTCCTTCCTTCCTTCCTTCCTTCCTTCCTTCTTTCCTTCCTTCCAGCACTGATGATGTTACCTAGTTGGGTCATGAAACGTCTGCAAGAAAACCATCCAACTCAGAGAGCACCAAGGACCCCACAGTCCGTCCTTCCTTCCTTCCTTCCTTCCTTCCTTCCTTCCTTCCTTCNCGCTTCACAGTCCTTTACAGCCCTCTCTAACCGGTTTACAGAGTCAGCTTATTTGCCCCCAACAATCTGGGTCCTCATTTTATCGACCTCGGAAGGATGGAAAGCTGAGTCAACCTTGATCTGGTGAGTATCGAACTCCTGGCTGTGGGCAGAATTAGCCTGCAATGCTGCATTCTAACCACTACACCACCATGGCTCGTTCCTTCCTTCCTTCCTTCCTTCCTTCCTTCCCACTTAGCAATAGCACTTAGACTTATATACCGCTTCACAGTCCTTTACAGCCCTCTCTAAGGGGTTTACAGAGTCAGCATCTTGCCCCATCAACAATCTGGGTCCACATTTTACCGACCTCGGAAGGCCGGAAGGCCGAATCAACCTTGAGCCGGTGAGAATCGAACTGCTGAACTGTGGGCAGCCGACAGGCAGCAGAAGTAGCCTGCAGTCCTGCATTCTAACCGCTGCGCCGCCAGGGCTGGTTAAATGCAAGGACCAGCTGTAACTTCCTTTTTCCCCAATGCCAAACGGTCGCTAAATGGATGGCTGTTAAGTCGAAGGTGACCTGCACTGCCATGCAAAGCAAAACAGAACGTACTCACCATCTAACCATGAGACCGTGCTCCAGGAAGTTTTTCAGGTTGGGAAGTGTCTGCCTTAAATCTGGAGTCCCCAGGCCATGCTGGTATCTAAGCTACGGAGAGAGAAAAGAAGACATTTAGAAGGTAACTCCAAGCAACTGGAGATGCTTCAAGCGGACCTGAGGGAGGTCAGTGGTGGCGCTGCGAGCTGGAGGATTAAGAACCTCGGAGTCCAGGAAAGAATTTTTATGGACGTTTAGAAGGAAGGGAATCCCACTGATGTGCATATGTGAGCACACCTAGGACAACGCGCAATGTCTTGGAGACTCTGTAATATCCACGAGACGGGCACAAGATGTCCCAGAGATAACTCTGAAGATTCTTAATGTAGAAAGACGTTCAAACTTTTGACTCGTGAGAAACTGATGAACTAGCAGAGATGGCCAGATTAATTAAAGAGAAGAATACATCTTTTATTGCCGTCTGGAAACTGCTTCTAAATGTTGTTGTCATGGTTCCGACAAATGGAACTCTTCAAAGCACTTCGAGGCATTTGTTTACCTTACAGAATCTTTTATTCGAGTAGCATAACATCGGCACGGACCTAATCGAAGCCAAAAACTGAATTCCCCTCCTCTGAGCACATAGTATCAAAGCACAATTCCCACCTCCAATTAACAGTCATAAACCACATTCCCCAATTAGCTTGAAATGCAGGCTTCCCCTCCAGTTCCCTAGCCCGCCAATTCTTATCATCTTTTATTTCAACAACCTTGGTTCTCACGCTAGGTTTATTTATTTATTTATTTATCGAATTTATACCCCGCCCTTCTCCTAGCGGACTCAGGGCGGCTTACAGCCTGTTAAAACAGATAACTAATACAATAATACAAAATTTAAAATGTGATTAAAATGAAATATTGATTGTTGGCCATTTCTTTTTAAAATTATTTTAAAACCAGATTAAAATACCCCTTAGGCCAGTCCGGCTAACTTAAATAGCCATGTCTTTAGGGCGCGGCGGAAGGAGGGGAGATCCGGAATGTGGGCCTAGAGACCCCCATCAAGCAAGGTTTCCCACCCCCGAGGTTGTCTCTTCCGGCTCCCCCTGGGGGTCGCCAGCCGACACTGTCTGGCTGACGGCACCCTGAGGAGACCCTCTCTGTGGGAGCGTATCGGCCGATGAGAGGTAATCTGTGGCAGAAGGCGGTCTCGGAGATAACCAGGTCCGATGCCATGGAGCACTTTAAAGATGATAATCAACACCTTGAAGCGCACCCGGAAAGCCACCGGCAGCCAGTGCAGCTCGCGCAGCAGCGGCGTTACATGGGAGCGACGAGTCACTCCCATCACCGCTCGCGCGGCTGCATTCTGGACTAACTGGAGCCTCCTAGTGCTCCTCAAGGGGAGCCCCATGTAGAGAGCATTGCAGTAGTCCAGGCGGGAGGTGACAAGAGCGTGAGTAACTGTGCGCAAGGCATCCCGGTCCAGAAAAGGCCGCAACTGGTGAACCAGGCGTACCCGGTAAAACGCCCCCCTGGCCACGGCCGTCAACTGATCTTTTAGTGTCAGCCGTGGATCCAGAAGGATACCCAGATTGCGAACCCTCTCTGAGGGAGCCAAAGTTTCGCCCCCTATAGTCAGCGACGGAGTCAGCTGACTATGCCTGGGAGCCGGCAACCACAGCCACTCTGTCTTGGAAGGGTTGAGCCTGAGTCTGTTTCTCCCCATCCAGACCCGTATGGCCTCCAGGCACCGGGCCATCACGTCAAGGGCATCATTGGGGTGGCCTGGGGTGGAAATGTACAGCTGAGTATCATCAGCGTACTGATGGAAATCCACCCCAAAGCCACGGATGATCTCACCCAGCGGCTTCACATAAATATTGAACAATAGGGGAGAGAGGACCGACCCTTGTGGCAACCCACAAGTTAGGGGCCTTGGGGTCGACCTCTGTCCCCCTGCCAATACAGACTGCGTGCGGTCGGTGAGGAAGGAGGAGAACCACCGCATAACGGTGCCTCCCACTCCCAACCCCACCAGGCGCCGCAGCATGATACCGTGGTCCACCGTATCAAAAGCCGCTGAGAGGTCCAAAAGAACTAGGACAGAGGAACAACCCCTGTCCCGGGCCCTCCAGAGATCATTCACCAATGTGACCAATGCCGTTTCCGTGCTGTACCCCGGCCTGAAGCCCGACTGGAGAGGTTCAGTGTTATGTCTAGCTAGACTCTCATGCACATTCCTCCCCCCCCCTCCCCGGCATCATCTAATTCTAAAAGCGAAAAGAAGACAATGGCTACATCTCCAACTGTTGTCAATGCAAAAACATCCGATGTTAGCAGCGTTGACCGTTGTGCTTGAGGTAGGAAAAAAAATAAAATCCTGATGTTGGGATTTTATCAGACAATGGTGGTTCACTCTGTTCCCCTTTTCCTACTATTTTCAGTGTCAAATGCATTTTGTGCTCCAGTTAAGTTCAATAAAATTATAGGAATTCCAAAGTTTGACTCCTGCAGGTAAATTAGCACGCATTCGGGTGTATTCGAGTATACAGGAAAATAAGTGTTCGGATTCAGAGCTGAGTTCGTGTTCAACTTTTCTTCCCCATCAACTTCGCCCCTTGGATCCAGACTAAAGGAAAAGTTACAGTAGATTGTCTAGAACAGTGGGGTCCCCAAGCTTTGCAGCTTGGCGGCCCAGCTGGGGGGGGGGAAGAGGGGAACTGGGCCCCATGGGTGGCGGGCCGGAGCACGTGCATACGCAGCTGCACTCACACAAGAGAGAAGCTTTGAGGCACCACTCACACAAGCGGGGATGCATGCACGCCAGTCTGCCACTCACGCGGACCGGTTGCAAATAGGCCGCGGCCCGGTAGTGGGCCATGGTCCACAGGTTGGGGACCCCTGGTCTAGAACTCTGTAGTACATTGTATATCGATGGCACACTGATCCAAAAAGGATCACCCACCTCCACAAGCAGCAAGCAATATATTCATACATAACTCATGCTATACTCCCGTGGTAGGCAACTAAGGCAGTTCTATGACCTGTGGACTTCAACTCCATGCTAGCTCAGGAATTCTGGGAGTTGAAGTCCACAAGTCATAAAAGGGCCATATTTCCCCCCATGCCGGCTCAGGAATTCTGGGAGTTGAAGTCCACGAGTCATAAAAGGGCCATATTTTCTCCCATGCTGGCTCAGGAATTCTGGGAGTTGAAGTCCACAAGTCATAAAAGGGCCATATTTCCCCCCCATGCTGGCTCAGGAATTCTGGGAGTTGAAGTCCACAAGTCATGAAGAGGCCATAGTTCCCCCATGCTGGCTCAGGAATTCTGGGAGTTGAAGTCCACAGGTCATAAAGTTGCCCTAGTACCCCACCCCTGCTGTATCTGTAGTCCTCAACTTACAACCACAATGGAGGCCACAACTTCCATTGCTAAGCAAGACAGTTGTTAGGTGAGTTTTGCTCCATTGCGTGACCTTTCTTGCCACGGTGGTTAAGTGATCCACTGCGGTTGTTAAAGTTAGCAACACGGTTGTTAAGTGAATCTGGCTTCCCCATTGACGTTGCTAGTCAGATGGTCGCAAAAAGGGACCACGGGACACCGCAACCATCATAAATATGAACCTATTGCCAAGCATCTGAATTTTGATCACGTGACCCATGGGGATGCTGCAAAAGTCGTAAGTGTGAAAAACGGTCGTAAGTCCTTTTTTTCAGTGCCGCTGTAACTTTGAATGGTCACTAAATTAGTGGCTGTAAGTCGAGGACCAGGCAAAATTAGACAGAGAGCAAGGCATAAGAATCCAACAGCACAATCAATCACAGGCTGCAGAACACTTTTTGCAAGGCAGACCACCAAAAAAAGCTAAATTTATATTCAACTGGGAAAATTCTCTTGAATTTCTTAGCCGTCGGTCATTCTAACAGCTAAAGGAGAGACTATTTCAAGAACCCATTTATTGAAAATTAAGTAATGAAGTCCCTTCAAGCTTGGCTGATCTCAAAACAGCCAAGCAGGATTAGGCCTGGTTAGTAGATTTTCGGCTGCAGGCTAGACTGGGAAGTAAAAAAAAAAAACACAGACCCAGAAAAAGGCAAAATAAACTATTTCTGAGAAAGAGTCTATTGAGCAAACTAAGAAATCTCCAAACGAAACACAATTTGCATCATACCTTCAAGCCTTTTCAAATTTTACTTTTTTTAAAAAAAAACCAGCACGTGTAGTCAATACCCAAGCAATACATCTCTTCTTGAAAGCCCAATTTTTCAGATTTTAATTCAGTAAAAAAAAAGAAAAACGAATTAAGAAAGTTAAAAGAAGGCAAACATCAATTCAAAAGTAGATAGTTCTTGACTTATAACAGTTCGTTTAGTGACCGTTTGAAGCTACCACAAAACTGAAAAAAATGACTTATGAGTGTTTTTCACACTTATAACCATTCCAGCATCCCCATGGTCATGTTATCAAAATTCGGCAACTGGTACGTATTTACGACGGTCGCAGTGCCCGGGGTCACATGATCCTCTTTTGCGACCTTCTGACAAAGTCAACGGGGGGGGGGGGAAGCCAGATTCATTTAACAACCGTGTGACTAATTTAACAACTGCAGTGATTCACTTAACTCAGGGGTAGGCAACCTTGGCTCTTTTATGCCTCATGGACTTCAACTCCCAGAATTCCTGAGCCAGCCATGCTGAGGGGAAAGGGAGGGGTTTCCAAGCTGAGCCGTGCTGGCTCAGGAATTCTGGGAGTTGAAGTCCACGAGTCATGAAGGGGCCAACGTTTCCCTCATGCTGGCTGAGGAATTCTGGGAGTTGAAGTCCACAAGTCATGAAGAGGCCAAAGTTTCCCCATACTGGCTCAGGAATTCTGGGAGTTGAAGTCCACGAGTCATGAAGGGGCCATAGTTCCCCCCTGCTGGCACAGGAATTCTGGGAATTGAAGTCCACGAGTCATGAAGGGGCCATAGTTCCCCCCTGCTGGCTCAGGAATTCTGGGAGTTGAAGTCCACCAGTCATGAAGGGGCCAAAGTTTTCCCCATACTGGCTCAGGAATTCTGGGAGTTGAAGTCCATGAGTCATAAAAGAGCCAAAGCTGCTTACCCG